GTCCAAATGAAAAAGAATGAAAGATTTTAAGAGAGGAAACAATGACTATAAATTGTTGTCACGGATCATTGAGAGAACCGAGTTTTTCATATGCAGTGTATATGGGCATTCTGAGGGAAAGGCTACCCACAGAGCAGGAGGAAACAGTTCTGTCCCCCCTCGCTGCCTTGGAGCCTCTGTGATAACTGGGTGAAGGTGTGCATTGTGCGTAAGGCCGAGGTCAGCTAGGGACCATGTAGTGAGAACCACGTCCGCAGAGTTGCAGGCATGCACCTGGCTGAGTGAGCCAAACAGCTGAAACAACTGTCTGACTGACGGGTGAGTCCTGTAAAGCGCCCGGATCGTCTTGGGAAGAACTTGAAGCATAGGAGGTTTGAGGTAAGGGGGGTTCTCACTGCCGGCTTTGAGGATGGAGGCAACAACAAGGAATGAGAGAAGCCTCCGGGAGCTGAGAGGTCCCGGGCACCCGCCAACCCGGAGAATGGGACCTGACTCTCCAGCCACAGGGGACGGAACTCTTCCATGGGCAGAGTGGGCTCAGAAGCAGGTCCTCCCCTAGATCCCTTGGACGGGTGCACAGTGCCCAGTGACAGACACATGCACGGCAGCCTTGCCAGACGCCAAGCAGAAAGGCCGACCATGCTGTCTGACCTGTGGGCCCCTCATCACCTTTGCAATTCAGGATCCTCATAAAGGGAGGGACATGAGATGCCCTGAGAAAGTTTCTCAGCAACAGGAAACCATTAGCAGGGTAGCCACCATGGTGCTTCTTGTAAGGTTAATTTTGACCCTGAAAGATCACCCCCATTCAGCGGCTCATTCTCAGGCACACACAGATGTGCTCTTGTGTCTCCTTTCTAAAAAAACAAAGTCCCAGACAGTCCTGCCATCTGCACAGCGAACTTATCAAATCAGCTGCCTTCACTTCCAGCCTTTCCCCACTCCAAAGTGAAACATGCTGGCATCCTTGCTTTGAAGCACTTTCTTTTCTTGGCTTTAGAAGCTTCCAACTCTACTCTCTGGAGTTCCTCTATCCGGAGTAACCTGGACTGCTGGGGAAGCCCAGACCCTAGAGACACTGTGGAAGGGTATAGGGGTGTTTCCCACGCTGTCTCCTTGAGCCCTGACGCTGCCTTGTGTGTCTGTCCCTTCCTGTGAGGCATCTCCACTCCAGGTCACATCCAGGCCTTCCAGATCTGGCCTCCTTTGGTCACACTGATCAAAGGGGCACTGGATCCCACTGAGTCTCATGGGGATCTCACATGCTGCCTTCTCTCCAAGCAGCAGTGGCTCCCCTGCTTGTCAGGCATGACAGCGAAAAGGATGGCGCAGGCTCTGCTCGGCTGGATGAGTTGGGTGGACCCTGTCACTGGACAGAGTGGCCCGGCCACTGCAGTTGTTAACTGCCTTCGCTTAGCAGCTTACAGAACCAGCTGGCACACAGACGGACTTGGGTGGTGAAACCCAGTCCCGGCACCCCACAGGCTCGGCAAGGCCCCTGGGGGGTGTGGGACTGAATGACTACAACCTCCTGGGACAGCAGCGCACTTCTACAGGCATGGCGTTAGAGCTGAGTCAGGTGCAGGGCGGGGCTGTGAGAGCCCAGCACTGCCCTGTTCCCGGGCCCCCAGCTGGGGAGCACAGCTTCCTCCCTTTCGGTCACGACTGGCCGTGCACCTCACTTGCCCTCGGCATCGGGAGACAGGCTCACCACAGCGGCACACCAGGAGCGGACCACGCGCTGTACGGAGGGAAGAGTCCCGGAATGAGCTCCAAGAGGTGGGATGAGCTCGAAGAGGTGGGCTCCACTCACCCAACTCTGTCCACAGGCAGGGTGCAGGGGGCAGCATAGCGAAAGTGGAGGCACGCAGTCTGCCACTGTTTTGTAACTGTGTGACCTCGGGAGCTCACTCACCTTGCTGTGCCAGCTCAGCCCTGATGAGACGGAGAGCAGCACCTGCTCTCGGCGTCTCACAAGGGCCTGATGGAGAAGAGCCGGCTGCTCCACCCCCGTGCCTAGGGCTGGAGGGCAGGCTGCACAGACACACCAAGGATGGGGTGGGCCGTCTCGGAAGATCCCCCTACGGAGCTGCTGTTTGCTAATTTGCTTCTGTGGAAAGTTCACAGCACACAGCCTGAGCAAGCAGAGCAAAAACAAGACGCCTTGATAAGAAAATACCTCATGGCCAAGACTGCAAACCTGGACACCCAGATGGAATTTTACAGCTGCACAGAGCTGTCCTAAGTATTCACGAAGTGGAGGGAATGGAATCAGACCAGACGGGAATTCCATTCTAAATGTGAAACAGCGCAGTTCTGGTTTTGTTCCACACAAGAGTGCGAAGACACACCAAGAGGGCCAGCACTGGACAAGGGCCCAGCCAAAGCTGAAGCCCACCAGGCCAGGAGACACGGGGCTGGCACAGGCAGGAACCCAGAAATGGTGCCTGAAGTGTCACAGGACACTTCTTGGGATGGCTGGATTTCATAAAAGGACCAGTGCTTAGCTTCGTCTCTTCTTTCCTGCACCTACCCTTCTCAGTCTAGATCCTGCCTGGTCCCACGACTTTGGCTCCTTTCCAAGGGAGGGAAACTTCTGAATGCTGGTAAGGTTCCCCTAGGTTACCTCAGCTACTGGCCTGTACATAATCAGCAATGTTAAAGAAGGTGTTACTTTCCATTTGAGTTTTCAGAAGAAAAAAAATCTCCAAACTTCAGCCCCCAGGTGTCTATAGTATATACCCTCATAAAATGATTATTCCAATTTATAAGCTATATTTACAGTATAACTCTGTTATTTTTCTTTTTCCTCTAGCTCTGTGGGTTCTTTCTTGACTCCACGTATCTGCGTTTTGATTAGAAATCCATGCTAACCAACCTAAGCTGGTTATTGGAAATCCATTGTGATGGAAAGAATAAATGAAATCTCTTTTTATGTTTAGTCAGCACAACCCGCATTCTCCATGTGCCAGCAAAGTCCTCTGAAGCTTGGGGAATTTGAAAAATTCAGGGCTTTAGCTTACACATACAATATCCGATGGCTCCCTGTTGGAACCACAGTGGATTTTCATCCCGGGTCTCTGGCACAGGCGAGTCATTGGATTTGTTCAGGGTATTTACTGTGCTGCTTCTCTCTTCCTGCCCTCAGCAGAGGGATTACAATTTAACCACATGGCCAGAGGTGCTGGCAAAGGAAAAGCAGCACTATTACAAGTTGGAAGGAAAGACAAAAAATGATAGTGAGGAAATCAGGAAGGTAGTGAAGTCCGTTCGCCACAAGGCAGCCTGCAAACCACTGTCAGCGGGGACGACTTGCTGTAAAATAAACAGCCCTGCCCGGACCAAGGTAAGTGCCAGAATACACTGGAGCCTTCCCCTCCCACCCTAAATCCCCAGAAGTGATGAGAAAAGTTAAAAACTCCCCGAGCATCTTAAACACTCTTTGTAGACTAGAAACTATGAACAATTGGGAAAAATGAAAGGCAGATGTTTTATTCTTTCTGAAAGAGGAAACAACTCAGAATGCACACAGATAAAAGCTGCTGCCAAAGGAAAGGAAGGAGGCGGCTCAGGCTCTCCAGTCAGAGATGCTGCCTGTCTGAACAGGGAGGGACCAGACGCTGGGTCAGATACGCAGACGGGACGGTGGTCAGCATCCAGAAGGAAGAAAAACCCCCAAAGAGGAGATTTGCACGTGCCAGCCTGTGACCTGGCTCCAGGAGTTGCAGGGAGTGGCCCTGTGATAAGCGCAATACTCACAAATAGGCTCCAAAGAATTTGAAATACAGCGATGAGCACAGAAGTTACAGAAAACCAACCCTGAGAAAGAGTCACAAAATTCTATGAAGAATTTATGTATGAAGAATCAGAGTTTCCTCCCTCTCCTGCCATTCTCTTCTACTTTGTCCCTCCCTCCCTTCCTGTCTGTTCAGGTGGTGAAGCAAGGAGTTAACTGGACTTTCAAGTAGGTTAAGCCCCTCCCTTAAGGCCGAAGGGCGAAGGAGATGGCCGTGAGCCCGCAGGTCGGACTGGAGTCCGCAGCTGAGGCAGGGACCGACAGGACTTGGAAGTAGCTGCCTGACAGGAAGCGAGGAGGGACTGCAAGCAGGGATCACTGGACAGAGCAGTCGATGCGCTCGCTCCCTGGGGAACAGAAGCAGGATGTGCACCTGTGGGTCAGCTCAAGACCCGCACAAGCAGCTATGAGTGCAAGCTCCACCCTTTCCCAGACCAGCCCCTCTGCACAAACCCACAAATAATGAACGGTGTCCCTCTGGGCCTTCATAGATGTAAAATGCCTTCCCTGAGCACGGACGGTGTCCGTGGGAGCTGCCCGCTCCGTGCAGGGGACGGCGCGTCTGCGTGTCTGTGCTTCTCTCACCGTGCACCGGGTTAACAGCCCTCAACAGGTGGTGACGGTGGCTACCAGAAAACTGAAATTACACAAGTGGCTCATCTTACACCTCTGCTAGAGGGTGCCGAGCAAAGGAACAACCGAAAGTGCGGCAGGAAAAGCAGATATGGAGGAATTGGCATTCATTTCTTGTTGCAAAAGAAGAGAAATAATATAAAGAAACACTGAAGTAACAAGGTAATGCCACGGAACTGAGGAAGGATGAAGCCTCTCACCGGAAAAGGGCCACTATGCTAAAGGAACTCTGTCCTGCTGACGGGTCTTTGAGGTAAGGGTGGCCGTCACCATGTACCTTACCCTGGAGCTTCTAGCCGAGGCCACAGAACAGAAAGGAAAGGAGGCGGCATTTCGCATCTGCAGATGGAAGGACTGCCTATCTGCCTCCCTCCCACCCTGCCCCTCTCCTATCAAACAACCCGGCACAAACGGGCCTTCTCTGTCCGTCCCGAGCCTCCCAGGACGAGAGAAGCAGGACCTACAGCACCGGCTCCTTCCGGACAGGCCTGCGTGACGCCTGGAGCCGGCTGCTCAGGCCCGGAGCACGGCCTCACTTGCGCGATAAACCTCGCGGCAGCAAGGCGCTTACCTGCGCACGGCGCTGGCGAACTCGGCGGCCAGCTCGCTCTCGCTGCACGTCGTCCTCAGTTCCGCCAGGGACAGAGCTGGGGAGGCGGCATCGGCACAGTCCTGAGGTGGCAAAGACATTCTTGTTAGGCCAGAAGCTGGGCTCCCTGGCCACAGGAAACTCTAGCTCCTCCGACAGAGCGTTTGGGCTGGACGGCGGGTTGCAGCAGCAGCTTGGGTGCTGGGCGGCACCCTCAGATCAGGCCGAGGGGAAGCCCGGCAGCAAATCCAAGACAACCTCCCATCTCAGCTCTCCAGCGACCTTCAAGGCTGCCCTACAGTGGCGATGACACCCCCACCCCGTGCCTAGGGCCGCACTGGTCCAGGCCCACCACAGGCTTTCACTCAGTCATCAGGCGGAGGCACAGAGTAGATACCTCTGTAATCCGCATTTTACCAAGGAGGAAACTGAGGCACAGACAGAGGTTACACTTCTCAGTTACCAATGAGGAAATGGAGGATCCAGGACTCAAAACCAGGCCGTCTGGCCCTTCAATGAAGAAACGCACACGAACGTGCTGCCGCCCCATCCTACTGCCCAAGAAAGCTCATCTTCTCCACAGCTGGGAGCTCTACTGGGTGCTCCATAATCAAGGACAAGGAGGAGGCACGGGACGGGCATCTCCACCCCATGTATCAGACTGGAACCCTGGTGAGCTACTGTTTTCTCGGCCTTAGAATAAAAATCTGTCATCTGCTGCAGGAGACACACAGACTGGATGGATCCAGTGCTAGGAGCCAAGCTGACAGGAGCCACACCCTCTTCCTCAGTCCACTCTTGTAAAGAGATGCCACCTTCCTAGGCACTCATGACAGCACGGGTCTGACACCTGAACCCTGTGCCCTCTGCCCAGGCTCCCGCCCTGCCCTGCCCTCCTGTTCTCCATCCAGGTGTCTTCCCAGACCCCCCACACCACCCTCAAAGTCTGCGGGGACCCTACCACTCCACCCCTTTCACATGTCCACTGCGCTGATGTGAACATTTCGGAAGACCCCTAATGCTTGGGCCACCACGTCTCCCTCGCAGTGCCACCTGCTGAGCATGTGTGGTGATGTCCTTGCGTACAGATTGACAAGAACTGCAAACACTTAGTGAAACTTGGATAGGAGTGAGGACCAGCTGTGTTGGTGGGAGAAAAGTTTTTAAAGCAAACGGGAATAGACCCATATATGGCCCCCTCACCTCTTTATATATGGCCCATAGGCCAGGAATGGCTTTTCTGTTTTAAAGTCATGAAAAAGTCAAAAGAGGAATACTTTGTAACAGGTAAACATTGCATGACATTCACCCTTCAGTGTTCATCAGTAAATTGTGAGAAGACAGCCACAGCCACTGGGTTCCTGGGGGCGCTGGTTTGCACCACACAGCTACGTGGGCAGAGACAGCAGGTGCAGCAGGTAGACAACGTGCAAATCCTAAAGTATTTACTCTTTGGTCCTCCCGAAGTTTGCTGATGCCTTCTCTAGACCATCTGCCTTATCTCCAACAGCAACAACCACCCACTGGCCCAGGGGTGGTGGTGCACTTCTGTAATCCCAGCACTTGGGAGGCTGAGGCAGGCGGATCGCTGTGAGTTCAAGCCAGCATAGGCTATCTAGTGAGTTCAAGGACAGCCTGAACTACGCAGCAAGACCTTGGCTTAAACAAACAAAACCTAACAAATAGCCAATATCTTATTGAAATACTAAATGGATCCAATACTTAAAAGACAAGAGAATTAGCTTACTCTAATTTACTTTCATAACTTAAGCAGCGGCAGATACTCTTATAAAGCTTGTTACTGTAATGTTAAAAAATCATCTGGCCTTTTCTGTCAGAGAAGTTTCTGTGCTTTGAAGCCACTGCACAAAACAGTGCTTCCCTCAGTTAATAAATACCCAGAACCGGGAGAAAACGTTCAGTTCCTGGGGTTCTGGCAAGAACCTGGCGAGTCACTCCCACCACACCCAAGAACACACACAGAGACACCAGTGTTCTGTCTCACAGACTCTAAGGCAAACTGACTAGCAACAAACTCCAAAGGCTGTAAAAAGTTTCAGAAGGTGTTTGTGTGTGATGAGAAAACACCACCTTTCTGAGCCCGAACCCCACCATATGAAACAGCCCCGGGTGGGCTGCTGTCCCCAGCCCAGGTGATTCCCAAGCACTGGTGCACTGGCCACAGTGACTTCCAAGGCCGAACTGCATTCCATTTGCTCCCTGCCGAAAACCCTCATGACTCCTTGTAGACCCCAGGGAACATGGCCCGCTGACCCCTCTAGGCAGCCCTTGGGTCTTGGCATGAGCTGTCCCTTCAGCCTAGAGCATGCCTCCTCGGCCCTAGCCCTCCATCCTACCTTCGACAGGCTGGCTCCCCTCTCTACTGGGTCAGTTTAGAAGCTGATCTCTTCCAGGAAACCTGTCCTGAATCTCTAATCTCGATTCTGTGTTTGGTCTGGATCCCACCATGGCACTGTAAGTGGATCCTTAAACTTGGGACACTCCGTCACTGTGTTGTGACTGTGTTTGCCCATAAGCCTCCTATTCACAAAGTCAATTTGGAGGACGCAATCTTTGTCGCCTGTCGCGCTCTGGGTCCTGGCTTGCTGTGAGTGCCAGAGCACACTCCTCAACTAAACAGGTGCATGGGAGGTAGCAGCTCTTGGACAGCTGGCTGCCTGGAAGCAATGGCTTCGTACTTCCCAGGTGCCTTGGGAGGATGGAGGCGGGGAAAGATGTAGCTGCAGCCATTTGTGAAGACTGCTTCAGAATTCTTATCTATTTAGGGGGTGACCGTTCACACCACACAACACCAGCACTGCTCCTTCTTCTGGACACTTCCCTGTACACGGGCCGCAAGCAGCCACTGAGGAGGCCAGCAAGCCAGCACACACCAGCTAGTTCTGCACCTGAGACAGGTGGGGCCAGGAGAAGCCGGCACTACCAGGAGGAGAAAATATGATATGCAATACATACACACCCCAAGATGCAGGCTGTAATTCCTCAGAGTCCAGAGATTTTCTTTCGCCCCATATGGTATTTGGAAGAGAGAGATAAAATGACAGAATAAGCTTGGGTTCTAGATAAAAGACCTGGAGCTGACAGGACCCTGAATTTGCCAAACCATGTCAGCGAAGTGGGTAAAGATATCTGCTTGATAATCCGAGCCTGCCTTCCTCTGCAGCCTTCCGCTGCCCCTGCTGACAGCCCTCTGAGGCTGAATGCCAGCAAGAAAGCAGGAACAGCACTGGTCAGAGGAAGTGAGCCTGTGAGCCAGACATGGGCGTAGGCCCAGGGAGCTGCTTTTTAAAAAGCTGGGAGGTCCGCATCTCATTGGAGCCTCATTTTCCTCGTGTAGATAGATGTAAATATTCTTCCCTCAGAGACGGGTGGCTTAAGGGAGACAGATAACAAATCAAAGTACCAAGAATATCAACAAACGATGGCTACTGGGTAAAAGGAACAGATCAGAAGGAAGAGGGGATCAGAGCAGTGGACAACTACACAGACTAGACTGATGCGGGAGAAATTTTTAAGTATTGTGTACAGCGAGATTTGGTTTCTTTGCGCTCAGTCGTCATCTGAGATATCTAGGAATGACCTATGCAGACAAGGACACAGAGGCAGCGAGGTGGTACGGTGTGGTCGGTGGTGAGTGAGGCTGCTCCAGGCCGCCCTGCCCTACCTTGCTAGGTTTGTCCTTGCCGCCACTGCTGGTGGAGCTGAGGGACCGCATCTGCTGCTCTTTCTGTTCCTCCACCTCGGACTTGAGGTGTTCGATGTGCACCAGGTAGGCCTGCTCCTGCGCCTCCCGCGTGCTCAGCTTCAGCTCCAGGGCCTTCTTCTCTTTCTCCAGGAGGTACAGCTGCGCCTTCAGCTCTGCCATCTCCTCCTGCATGGCAAAATGCGCAGAGCATATGAGAGCTCGGAGGACCGGCACAGCTGGCCACACCCAGTCGGGGGAAAGGGACCTGGCTACACCCTATGGTCCAAGATCGAGGGGTCACTCTGAAGCCAGGACTAAGAGGACTGGGAAAAGATGGGAGCTGTTCCCAGACACGTGAAGCACAGATGTGTGCCAAGTCCATGTGATTTGTCACTCTCGGGACAGAACGAAGATAAATGGGTAGAAGTCACAGGCAATGAGTTTGCTCTGGTTTAAGGAAAGCCTTTCTAACAGTCGTTAGGGCCCCAAATGGGTACATCTGTCTTGCTGGAAACTTGATGTCTGGCAGTTAGAGACTGAGCTGCATCGACCCAGGACTGTAAGGGATCCTCCAAACACAGAGGTCTGGGTCTAACTGGGTCCCTAGCAGCTCCCATTCAATTTCCACGTCAAATGATTTTTTCATAGTGTATATTCATCATACAGGACAATGGGTTTCATTTCAGCACTTTCCGCATACATGCACATAACATACTTGATATCTACCCCCCTGACCCTCTTCGTCTGGCCCCTTCTCTTTCTCTTAGTCTCTCTCCACTTTCTTTCCCCCTTTTTTTTTGTCTTTTTGAGACAGACTCTCGCTATGCACTTCAGGCTGGCCTGGAGCTCACTTTGGAGTCCAGGCTGGCCTCAAACTCACAGCAATCCTCCTGCCTCAGCCTCCTGAGTGCTGAAATTACAGGTGTGCGCCACCATGCCTGGCCTTCTCTCCACTTTCATGTCATCCTTTTCCCCCATCCAGTCTGTATAAGAGAGAAGACATGTGATCCTTGCCCAAGTCTGGCTTATTTTTCTTCACATGATGATCTTCAATTCCATCTATTTTCCTGCACATGATGAGACTTCATTCCTCTTCATGGCTGAATACTACTCCAGTGTGTATGTATACTGCATGGAATTGAATTACAGTAAACATGGGCATGCCCTTCTCTCAGTACTATACTGACTTAGATTCCTTTGGGTTTATACCAAAGAATGGTGTGCCAGTTAACCTTAACTGTCAACTTGACTAAAGTGAGAGATGCTTGGAAAGATCACTAGACCATGGGGGTGCTGCACTCATCAGTGGACTTATCTGCTCATGTTCACAGGTGGGTGTGCTGTAGGAGGTGGGGCTCAGGTAGAGGCCAGTCACTGTGAGGAGCCTGTGGAGTATGAGTTCCATTGGTGTTCTTCCCCTGTGCTCTGCTCCTGGCCATTGTGAAATGAGCAGCTCTACTCCACCATGCCTTTTTGCTATTATGTTCCCTACCCTCAGCCAGGTGACCATGGACTGAACCCTCTAAAATCATGTGCCATTAAACCTTTCCTCCCCTAGGTGGTGGGTGCCAGATATTGTTCTCCTAGCCATGAAAAGCTGACTAATACAAGTAGTCTAGCTGAATAATGATAGTAGTTCTATTCTGAGTTTTTAAAAGGAAACTCCATACTGATTTGCATAGTGGCTATACTAATGTACATTCCCATTGGCAGTGAAAAAGGGTTCTGTTTTCCTGTCCTCACCAGCACTGTTTTTTGTATGCTTGATGAGAGTCATCTTCATTAGCATTAGATGGCAACTCAAAGGTAGTTTTGATTTGTACTTTCCTGATGGCTAAGGATATTGAACACTTTTCTTTTTCTACATAATTGTTGGCCATGTGTTTCTTTTGAGATGTATCTGTTCAGTGACTTGACCATTTATTGATTGGGTTATTTGTTTTCTGTGTTAATTTTTTTGAGTTCTTTATATATCCTGGATATTATTCCTGTGTCAGAAGACTAGCTGGCAGAGATTTTCTCCCCTTCTGTAGGCTGTCTCTTCACTCTGTTAAAGCTTTCTTTTGCTGTGCAGGAGCTTCTTAAAAAGATCTCCTTTGTTGGTTCTTGCTACTATTTCCTAAGCTTTTACAGTCCTATTCATGAAGTCACTGCCTGTGCCTGTATCTTTTAAGTGTTTCTCCAATGTTTTCTTCTAGCAATTTCTAAGTTCAGATCTTATATATAGGTCTTTGATCCATTTGCATCGATGTTTGTACAAAGGGAGAGACAAGGATCTAATTTTAATATCTTATTTATGGATAGCCAGCTTTCCTGGGACCATTTGTTACAGAGACGGTAACATATGTTTCTGTCACCTTTGTCATGAATCAGATAGCTGTAGCTACATCTAAGCCATATATTTAACAATGCTGATGGTACCTTTGTCTTCCTGCAGCTGAAATACCCACAACAGCATCCTCTAGCTCTTGGGCCGCAAGCAGCCACGGAGGCTCTTGTTTATTTCAGAGGGCCCAAGTGAATCAGTAACGACACAGACCTGATAGAAGACTTCATCAGACAGTTTTGAAGAAGGGGATCAAACCTGGGGCTCTGTGCATGCTAGTCAGGACGTCTATCCTTGAGCCACTTCCCCAGCTAGATAACTTCTAAGAGTAACTTAAAGTGCTCAAGTGTTTGTTTTCTGTGGAGAATAAGAAGTGAGCCTAAAATGGAACTATACCATCCTGGCACCACGAGCCACACAACAGTGACAAACAACAACTTTTACTGAGCATGTATCACTATTTTAAGGGTTCATAGGAAGTAACAATGAATTTTTCTAACCTAAGGTAGGTATTCTGAGTATTTCCACTTGTGAATGGGAAACTGAGGCATGCAGAGGGAAATCTACCTTCCCAGGGCTGCTGGGTAGGTTATGGAGCCAGAGCTTGACCCTGGGCTGTGTGGCTCAGGGTCCAGGTTCATACCTACTCAGCTAAGCTGCCCCCTCTCCAGATGGGCCTGTGCATAACCCTATCCCACCACCTCCACTGGAGGGGCAGTCTCCCATGGCTTGACTGCCAGGCCGGCCTCCCAGTATGCTCTACAATCTCCTGCTTACAAGGACTCTGCAGAAAGCTGAGTCACCACCTTGACATAGACTCATCAAGGTCCCTGGTTCTGGCTACTTATGAGGATAGTGAGCTGCAGGCCTGCTGTGCTCTCCTGGGAGAGCTTTATACCCTCCAATGTGGGCAACAGCTGGAGGCACTGACCAGGCTTGTCTACCTCAGGACTAGAGGACATTAGTCACTGTGCTAGGGGACGACTCAGAAGAACAGGCCAGCCTTTCCCCCTAAAGATCAGACACCAGGATGAAAGGTGTTTTCATACCAAGAAGCTTTCTCATCTTTGGCCATCAGACGCAGGATTCTGAAGGTTCCAGCAACATTGCCTGCTGAGCTTGTGTGGCCAGTCACTCCCAGAATGAACATAAACGCAAGCTAGAAAGGAGGAAAGGTAAACCCACGGGTGCCAGAAATGGAAAGACAAGTCTGCCAGAGGCAACTGGCAACATGGGCGGAGACATCAGTGTCGTCTGCAGACCTCGGGATCTGAGTTCTCATGTGTCCACTGGCAAGGCCTGGCCTCTAGGAAGCAGAGTGCCACACTGCGACTCCTAGATGAGCTGAACTCTCAGTGTGCTGCCCAGAATAAGAGACTAGAAAATACCCTTTCTGGCGATGTCTAAGGAAACTTGTCATATTGCAGGCTCTGAGCCAGAAAGACTGAAAAATCCCTTTTGAGGAATCAAAGCTGTCAGCTTGTGTCACGCGTTTGTGCGGTGCAGGAATCCTAACAGGAGAATGTACCAAAAACTGGTAACAAATCTCTGAAACGCACAAGGCTCACTCAGGAGATCTTAGTACTGAGCTACCCTGTGAGACCGCTATAACAAGGACCCAAGGAACAGTCTGCACTGGACAGAACCCTATGCACACGCTCTCCGCCCCAGCAGGGGATGAAAACAAACCACGCTGAGGCAGACGCACCAGAGGCAACACAAGGGGGAGTCAGCATTCCTAGGAGCAGAAGTAACAGAATGTGGAAAACTAAAAAGCAAATATTTCAAAGAGTTAAAGGGATAAAGGAATAGGAATCCTAAGGAAAGCACAGAACATTCAAGAAAGAGTGGATCTGAGAGGGAACCAAGGAGGTCATCCAGAAAATGAAGAGATATTTAGCAAAGATCAGGTACCAGAAATAGAAAACCTAGAAAGTTGAGTTTCTTAGCAGTTAGGTCCAGAGCAAAGTGGTGAAGACCAACAGAACCTGCTGGACAATGGACCTGTCCAAGTGACCACTTGTCAGTGAACACACTGCGGGAAGGAGAACGCACTGGTGTTGAGACTCTGACGCCCCAGGAAGAGAACACACCAGGCTCAGGCAATGGCTCGTGCATTCTTCCTCTTCCAGCTACTCGTAATTTGTAGTTTCAGAATATGTCTAAGATAAATGCAGTTTACTTTCAAGTGACAGAAGGAATATTAGTGTTTTTATTCCATAAGAAGTGTCTTTCCTGGCTACAATAACACTGAATTTATCTCCCCACAGACTGGCCAGTACATAACGAGGAAATCCTTAGTCTTTGGCCAAAGGAAACATGGTATTTGGAATATATAATGGAAGAGCAGCCTCATGACTCATGCCACAGGGTACAAGGGTCCACCACGGAGTCCTGACTGGGGAGAAACTCCCTGTGATTATGGACCCAGGGCCGGGCTCAGGGGCAGCTGAAGAAATCAGCTGGGGGTGTGAGGACTCTAGGGAGGAGCAGTTCGAGCTGAGCGAGTAGATGGAGATAAGCAAGCCTGAAAATAGTGGGACAGGGCAGGATTCCCCCTCTGCTTCCACTGCCCAGAGGCTTCCCAGACTTCATCCAGACTCAAGCTACAGCAGCCAAGGACAGGACTGTGCTGAGGGCACCCGAGGGCATCAGGATGACTGCTGTGGGCAGCCTCAACACCTCCACAGAGGCCAGGCTGCCAGAGCTGAGTATCTTGTCATCTCAGCACTGCATGCAGTGGTGGAGAAACAGGATGTGCTGCTAACTTGGCACTACTGCAACCCAGTCTGCGTCCACTGGGGACCACGGACATGACGGACTCCAAGACTGTGCAAGTCAGGCCTTTGTTCACAGGACAGGGAAGTTTGGAAAGCAGGTCTGGAAACAAGGCCTCCAGCTCCCAACTCAAACCCATCAACAGGGCCACCCACGCACCACACTGGATCTGCAGGAGCAGCCCCAAGCAAGCTCCCTCCTCTGGTACGGGTGTGCTGAGATGTACACTGCATGGGACTGAAAGGGGAAGCTTAACTGCTTGCCAAGGAGGAGCATCCACTTTCCAAGAAGCTCCCTCTGCTCCAGAAATGCTGGTAAATAACAGGCAGTGGGTGAACAGCCGAAGACCTTATCAGGAACACTGGCCAGAATGGCATGGCCAGCCGTCACTGGTTCAAGCAAGCTGTACACTGTACCCAAGGCATTGGGGTGTCAGGAGTCTAGGGCTTCCAGCCAAATTCAGCAGGTAGCTATATCCTGGTCTCCCTTTAAATATCAGCATCAGTGATCTAACTATTTCCTGGCTTTTGTGAGATGGGGCATCGCTGGACAGACCCAGGCTATTGTATCCTGCAGGAGTCTGGCCTGGCTTCTCTGGAGACCGGATGTTAACCAGCAGGGCAGGACGCTCTGAGCATCCTTCCCCTCTAGGAATGTCCAGCCCAAATGACTCCTAAACAAATGAAGCCATCACTGTGCATAGCCAGGCTCCACCTGTCCCGCATGCTGAGTTCTCATGGACGGACCCTGCTCTCGGGCCGGTCAGGTCTCCCGCTGGGCCCCTCACACACACCTTCATGGCCATCAGCTCCTGCATCAGCACGGCGTTCTCCAGGTCCAGCCTCTGGCTGTCCCCCCGCGGCTTGACGTCGTAGCTGAGCGGGTCTATGTGGATGCTCTCCAGCTCCAGCATGGTCAGCTTGACCGCCGCCCTGTCGTTCTTGAGCTGCTGGATGTAATCCTTCAGCCTCTGCTCGTCTTCCTTAGTGAACTCCGTGTCGCAGCTGCTGGCTGTGGAGCTGGTTGTGCTTAGAAGAAAGAAAAGCACCGTGTTTGCAAGCAGTCACCAAGAGACCTTTTCTCCTCGCCAAATCACCCTAACGTTGTTTAGAAGGCAACCAGAAATCAACAGAAAAACAGGCATTACAACTTTTAGGAAAGAGAAAGTGTGAAGAACAGTGAAAACACTTACACATTCGAGACAATGCTGTGTGCTCTAAAAATAAATTCCAAGGAAATAATTCCACAGAAGAACAAGGACACACGTATGCAAAACTGCGTACTGTAATATGATCTAAAGGAGGGAAGTTATATGGACATCAAAGTGATAACTTTGACAGTGGTGCACTTTATGTGAGGAAATGGGATGAGACTAATAAGAGTGTGATCAAAATAGGTGTACAAAAGGGAAATGTAAAGGGAATGAAGAACTTGAAGAACAAAGTACTTCTGGCAGGACCTGTACCCATGCAGGGGCACGTGTGCGCGCACGCGCGCACACAAAAACACACACATACACACACACACACACACACACACACACACACACACCACACACCTGAAATCCCTTTGGGGTGGAAGGTAAAGAATGGCGATGGAGGCAGGGCTCTGCACTGAGCACTCCTGTTTTCTGACTGTACCGTGAAAACCAGGTGTGTGCCATATGGCAATAGCGATGTGGACAGTGGGCGCCTCCAGGTCTCCACACAACATTCTTTCATCCACCAGAGGAACTCAAACAAGTCCCACGGGGCCCAGGCACACCCTACTTTATGGTGACCAGGCAGGAGCCTCTTGACTTGAGGGGTGCCCAGCCCTCCTCTAGACTCCTGTGGCAGGAAGTGACGCCAGGAGCAGGGAGTGCTCTCCACAGGATGCCCTCGTCACCTCACACTGCAGGAGGGGTAACGGGCACAGGGCCCCCCTCAGCCAGGGCAGTTCCACTCTTGTACATAAATACATCAGTAAAGAGAGAAAGCTGGGTGCAGGGGCACACACCTGTAGTCTCTGCCACTTGGGAGGCTGAGGCAGAAGGATCCCTAGAGTCCAGGAGTTCAAGGCCAACCTAGCTGGGCAAAACAGCAAGACCCTGTCTCAAAAAGGGAGTGAAGAGGAAGAGAAGGTCTCCAGGGAGAGAAAGGGAGAGGTGAGAAGGGGCAGGAGCACTGCTGCTCAGTTTGCCACTCATACTCGGAAGGCAGCCCTTAGGGTGTGAGGTGCTCTTCCAGTCAGAACAGCTTCTAGGATGGAGAACTCCTACACACCAAAAGCCTTTGGGTTGCCCTGATTCCCTGCGTCCTTCCAGGACAGGAAGAAGTCACCGGGAGATGAAGGAGCAAGAGCAGCCTATCAAACACCACCTCTTCAGGTGCTAGGGAGTAAAGGCAATGTGGCCATCGGGCGGGGCCGCAGGGCTCAGGTGCTACCCAAACACCAGCCTAGATGATGCTATAAAGTTATTTTTTATAGGTGATAGATTTTTTTTAAAATGGTACCAGGGACTGAACTCGGGGCTTCACACATGCTGAGTGAACCCCCTACCACTAAGCTATATATTCCAGCCCTTTTACTTTTTTTGAGACATAGCCTACCAAATTGCCTAGGCTGGCCTCAAACTTGGGGTCCTCTTGCCTCAGCTTCCTGAGTAGCTGAGATTACAGATGTGATTAATGTTTAAGTCAGCAGACTTAAAGTAAAGGTGATTAATCTCCTAAGGTGACGTTCTGCCTCCAAATAGCCTATACACTCGGGAGTCAGCACCAACTTGTCCTTGGATCCAGCCTGATCTGAAGATTTCAGACTTTCCAGTCCTATAATCAAATGAGCCAATTCCTTCAATCATTTCTGGATATGCTGTGTGTGTAGAAATAGATGTCTGCAGAAATATAATGAGTTGTCTCTATATAAAGATACCAGTATCCTCATCTATCTGCTATTAGTTCCGCTGCGCAGAGCTCTAATACCAAAGTGTTACCTTCACTTATGACCCGAGCACCTTACATACCTTGCAGACCTATCTCTTCATCTGTGAAATGAGGGGAATAGCATTACATGCCCCATAAAGTTGTAGTAAGGATAAAATAAGATAAACTGCAAGGTGCTTAGACCAAGGCCCAGCACATAGGAAGCACCTGACAAATAGAGCTATCACTCATCTGTGCAAGAAATACCGAAGCGCCTACTGTGAGCCACCCAAATCTAGGCCCTTCCTTGCCTCAGGGGACTTACATTCTAGTAGGAAAGACAGGAAGTGAAATTACCCAGGACATCAGACAAGGAGAAGCACCAAGGAGAAAAGTGAAGCCAGAGGCACAGGGAGTGCAAGAGGGGATGGAGTTACCATCTGAAATGGAGCTGCGGGGAAGGGCTGAGGAGACCTGCAGGAGGCGAGAAGACCTGCCTCTTCCAGATACTGGGAAGAGGACTGGCCTAGGCAGAGACAAAGGAAATGCCAAATCCCTGAGGCCGGGAGCTTGGCCAGCAAGCATGCACTGTGGCTGCAGCAGACAGAGTCAGCAGGAGGAGGAAGCAGAGAGGTCAGGAGTGCATGGAAGAAGGCAGGTGCCGTTTCAGCTAGGGTTTCACCAGGGCTGTGTCTGGACTTACAAGGGTTTTCTCTAGAATTAGAATGGAAGTCACTGGCGGGCTTGTAAGAGAAGTGACATGATCTGCCTTACATTTTAGAAGGGGTCCTCTGGCTATGCTGAAAAGAGATGTAGGGAAACCAGGGCAGGGCTGGGAGGTCCCTCAGGAGGCTACTTCAACCATACAGGAGCAAAGGTAAAACTATTATTAATCATCAGTATGGTGTTTCCTTACGCTACACTGTAAAAAGGAGGAGAAATGAGAAATAACCTCTCCAGTTGGATACCTCAGGTGCCATTCCATAAAGAAGCGATGTTCACAGGAAGCCTGACCAAGCAGATAGGACCCGGCACAAGGCCCTGGGGAGCTGTGTGGTGCATCTGACAACCACGCTGCCCAACAAGAGGGACAAATCCAAGGGAGAAAACAAGGGTCCCCCGCAGCGGTCCTCTGCAGCTCTACCTGCAAACAGCTCTGTGGTAGGCATGCTGCATACAAAACCCTTCAGAGAGGGCGAGGAGCTCACCTTCACAGATTGTCAACTTTGACTGGGAGGGACAGACATCTAATATTCCCCAGCTGAATAAGCACGCAAATTAAAGCAAACTCAGGAGGTGGATTGCTCACAAGCATGTCACAGGGTTGAGTACAGCTGGGCTCCCAGGTACAGCAGGCTTAGACGGTGAGCTGCTGAGGAAGAGAAGGCCTTCTCTTCCCATTGGGCAGGAGGAAGCTTCAAAAATAAAATCTGTCCCTGGGAAGCCGGGACTCAGGTCTAAGGTTAACTTACATGAGCCTTTCCTTTTCATGAAAAATGATTTTACAAAACCAGAAAAATACAATAGCCAAAAGCAAACATAAAATACAAATACAAAATAAATAACTGAATATAAAAACCAATACCCACATGCCTGTCACCCATATGACATTTTGTTCTGTTTTCTTCACACTACTATGTTTAGAAATACAACATTTACACTCTGAGGCACTGTTGTTTTCATTTAAAATACAAACTGTAAAATTCAAAGAGCACTAAAAGCTAGAGTTGTCTAATTATCCTAAAAGAACTAAAGTGACAATATTTTGGCAGATTTTCTATTTAGCAGGATTGGTCTACCCCAGCAGTTCTCAAAGAGGGCTCCCTGGCCAGCCACCGCACGGACATGGCCTGACGGCACGCTCCTGAGCCAGATCCCTCGGACTGAGGGTCAGGGACTCTGGAAGTGGCACAGCAACCTGTGGCTGAGTACGGACTCTGACACATGCTCACCTCTGAGAACCATCTGTCTCCCCGCAGGTAGGTGGGCATTTGCTTAGTAGCCTGGGAGGTAACGGGACACCCTTGCGTTTTCTAGGTAGAGGCCACTCTACTTTCAGGTTGCCGTGGTAGCCACCAGTTAGGGCCTGAAGGTCTCAGAAGCCAGACCTGAGTATTTCCCTCTGGTCCTTCCCAGGTTGTGGAGAAGACACCACAGTCCCGAAGCAGGAAGCAGGCAAGACCAGCTGGTGGTGCCACACAGCACTCACTGTGTGCAAGGAACAGGGACAGGGACTCTTTCCCGACAGCTAGGCCAATACCCTGCAAAGCCCGCCACAGGACTCAGGCATCCCTGAAGGGTTCACCATCTACAGCCATCTAGAAAACCTCGATCCGAAGAGAAAAAGAGCGCCCAGGGCTTGACCAGACATTAGAGCCCACCAGATCCACCTAGGAGAACAAATGTGAATGGGTAGGGAAGATCCGTGCTCTGTCACCCTTAGGGCCTGCAACTGGTTCCTAGATGAGTAGGAAGCCTTTTGTTTCACCCCTTTCGTTATGAGCACAGTTTTCAGAAAAGAAGAAAAAAGAACAAGAGAGTTCAGTTTCCAGACCTCACCCTGTGGGAAGCTCAGAGCATTACAATGCTCTTAAAGCAGAGGAATGCTGAATTTCAAGATAAGCACCACAGCGCCGGCCCTCCAACCTCCCTCTCCCTTCCAGGACACCAGCAGGGAGCAGATCAGGTGAGGTTAATTACAATTCTGCTTCAAGTCCTTAGCGGTCCACTGCGGGATATGATTATGAGGGTGGGGAAGAAGGGGAAGCCACTGGCCTTCCCTGGCCTCCCGCAGATGGAGCTCTGGCGGCCTCCCAAGGGCCGCTGTCGGCCGGGCAAGGCTAAGTCATCCATTAACTCTCTCAGCTTGGAGCACAGGATGAGCTCAGCTGTCACTGCGAATAAATCACTTTCCACACACTGTCTAATTCCTGCTCTCAGCTCAGAGGCTGGAGGTGTTCTGGAGGGGATCGAGGCCGAAGGCTGTAGGTGAGGAAACCTCCAGCCTACCTGGCTACACAGGGCTGTGTTTCCTTTGGGCTTTTTGAGGAACCAGGCTGTTCCTGAATGTGTGGGTTTCTTCCGGCGGTGCTCTCTGCAGCTCCCGGCCCCTGGCTTACTCTGCACCCATCAACTGCTGGCGCATCTTGCCACACACCCTCTGCACATGCACATGCAGCCGCCTGCTCCAGCTGACCCACTCTCCGTGTACCCTCACTCTTGCGGAACAGGCTATTAAAACCAGCTATGGGGCTGGGGATTTAGCTCAGCGGGACAGCACCTGCCTGGCAAGCCCAAGGTTGTGAGTTCGATTCCCCATACTGGAAAAAGAAAAAAAAAAAACCAGCTACGGATGTCAAACACCATCTCCTCTGTCCCTCTACACCAAGTCCCATTAGCAGCCTCGGGATGCTTGCATCCTGCTCACTAGCATAAATACTCATTTTCCCCAGCTTGCTTTGACAGAAAGCCAGATGGGCATGTCTTTCCCTTTGCCTAAAAAATCACTGATGGAGTTTTCTTACAGTTTTTAGCAGAACCTTACCTGGCCCTGAGGTCTGACTTCCACCAGAGAGTAGCTCAGGGCTAGAGGCGGGGGATCTGTGTTGCTGAGTATGTGAAACTGACTTGGAGGAGGGCTCAGTCCAGGTGACATTTGGCACTTATGCCACGCCAAGGTGGCTCCACCCTGTCACCTGTGCTGAGGGTGACCCCACACCCTTTCTGACAGTGAAGGGCTTTCAAAGCAAAGTAAAACACTAGACAAACACCACACCTTGAAGGCTTGTATGTTCTTGAATGGTTGTCAGAATTCTCCAGGAGAAATGGAAGTTAGATGAGGGCAAATTACCTAATCTCACAAAATATGGATATGAGAAAATCTACAGTCAGAGAAAGTCCTCAGAAACTGCCTAGGTCCCGAAAGCTCCTAGGAATTTAGCTGACAGTGAAAGTCAAAATAAGAAACAGAGATGTTTAGCAGACAAATTCTACATATACAGCCATTGTTAAAGGCGCCATCACACTGTTGCGGAAACTAGGCATCTCTAAACTATTCTAACTCATTCCTGGTTTGGTCACTGATGACAAACCAAGACAGACACTATTGAAGTTGACAACCACAGACAGTCAAATTGAAAACAAAATGTGCATTCTAATACCTCATGTCAGTAAGGGTTTAGAGGGAGAGGCCCCTTACACACACTGGCTATAGGAGAAAAATTCAATTATATAGAGAGGGCTTTTTGCCATTGGAAACACATCACTTTTGAGCCAGCTGATTCTCAGAATCGGTCCCACAGAAATTGCACAAGGACAGGTATTAGGGACAGTGGCCACAGCAAAGCTATAACAGTGGAAAACTGGATAAAAACATCGAATGAGCGGAAACTTTAAAGTATACAATGGCACTGCCATCCAACACAGAACTATGCAGCTACTGAGAAGGATATGGGAAGATGCCGAATGGTCCGAGGCTAAGGGAAACAGCCTGCTCAAGACAGTCCTTCTGACAGGATGCTCAGGAGGTTAAGAATCAGTACTAGTCTTGTTTTCATAGTGTGTTTGAGATCCTGGCTTCCACACTCTTCTGCGGGAAAAGCGACCCCTTTTGTTCTCCATCCACGTGGCTCCTGTTGGAACTGCCGTGGCTCTGCACTGCCATGGTCTCTGGGACTGTAGTCAGCCTTGTCTGTAAGTGCAGGTGGTGTGCTGGCTGCGCCCTTGGGGTGAGCAATCTGCTGCAGGAAGACTGCATAGCCACATGCACAGGCTACACGGGTTGGACAGGGAACCTGCCACAGCTCGGTGCACCTGTCCGCTATGCCCAGCACGTTGTGGGCCTCCAACTTTGGTCTTCAGCCTGGGTATGCCGCTCATGCGTACAAGACCTCATAACCTTCCAAGAAGACCCTTGTGTTTCAGGTATTGTAGCATATTTCTGTCCTTTGCAACCCAGATCTTAATAAAAACCGCAATTAGATCTGTGACCCACACTGCTCGACTGTGAGAGTCCTAGCACAGAGGATTTTCTTTGTGGACTATACATTTTGTAATGCTGGGATTTTTGTTGCTTATTTTTGTCTATCTGTCTGTGTCTGTCTGTCTACTAAGGATTGAACCCAGAGCCTTTGCAATGAGCTACATCCCCAGCCTTTTTAATTTTTTAAATTTTGAGACGATACTGCTAAATCACAAAATTGCCTAGGCTGGGCTCACACTTGTGATCTTCTCAGAGCGCTGGGATTACAGGTATGTACTACCACACCCAGCTTATTTTCATAATGAGCATGTAATTCTTTTGAGATCAGGAAATTAGGTCTTGAAGAAAAAATAGCATTAAAAGGGTTTCATGTTTCTGCCATATTCTCGTACAACCTACAAAGTAAGTGGCAAGGACATCTGAGCAGGAAGGCTGATCACCATGCTGTCACACAGAAGAATGTGTCTCAGCTGGACGCTGGGCGTAATAACACTAATAAGCGCTAATCCCCAGGACTTTGATGGACCCTCCTGATTCTTGGATGGGAAAGCACCGTCTCTTTTCCGGTAAAGATGACTGCTGAAACAGCCAGATGTAGTCTGACTCTCATTTCCTGAAGCCTGCTGATGGTGGTGGCAGAGGCCCCTCCTAACTGGATGGATACTTCAAACCATTTACCATTTCAATGGACGACGATTCCACTGCTCAAAGTGGTTCTTTCTGTTCCATGAAATTTGATCTTAATCCAGACTAGTTTAGAGGGTAAACACTGGGCACCTCTGGAGCTCCATCACCCCCTATTGCAACTGGGAGATCATGCCCCAGTGGGAGTGGCCAGGAGGCAACAATCTGGCTACCTTCAAGTACAAAGAGGCTCACACCACCTTTGCACAGGGCTTACATGTGTATGTGTCAGAAGTGCCCCTGGAGGGCTGATATGCAGCTTTCCTCCCCTGAGAACTTGGGGAACAGGACACTTTGATTAGAATTCTCTATGCCAGGTGGTTACAGTGGGTGGAAAAGTGATTTACGGGGTCACAAAAAGCACCAACGCAGAAAGCTCCTTTTCTTTTTTGCATAAATTTGATATGAGGGGATGTCTGAGCTAGAATGGCAAGATTTACAAGCAAAATTACTGTGATTACTGTAATTGTGAAAGGGGTCCGCTGGTTGGGAACCATGTTTATCTGAAGCGGTGTAACTGTGTCAGGCCCTCTGAATGTGCAGGGCCACGTGAATGCCATGTGTGCTCTGTACCTACTGGGGCTGCTCTGCTGTGGGGAGGAGGGGAAAGGGAATTTCAGAGATCTGACTAGACTCAGATCTTTTGATGCAAGACCCATCTGAGACGGAAATTAGTTAAAGGCCCATCCTTCAGTGAGGTATTCACTGAACACAGAAACTCAGTGTTCTGAATTTATCTCAACCTGTGGAAACGTATCAGCCCAAACTAAGTTTCTCTCAAAAAACTGTCTCCTAATCAAAGTTCACCTGTATGTTAACAACATATCTACCTCTCTAACAAATATTCAAAACCAGGATCTCCACTAACATGGGGGGCAAACTGTCCTCACTTCTGACCAACTCCAAAGTTGTTTCTGATTCAGATTAAAACAACAAAATTATTTTTGGAGGCTGAGAGGCATAAGCAAATGATCTTTAGTACAAATCTCATAAGCTACCAATAAAGCACATATTTCCTGTTGTCCCAATTCTCACATCCACTAATTCAACAGAACAGTATCACCGACAGCATGAGTACTCCGTCTCAACCTACATGAACAGATCACTCACATCTGGATAAGTCATCACGAGGCGCATCTGCTTTCTGTATTATAACAGAAGAATTTGGTTTTAAAAAAATAAATTGTAATCTGTGTTCCATTGAATAAGACAATTGTTGCTGCAGTCAAGAGGAAATGACTCCCTTGTGCTGGTGGGCACCTGGCCAACTGCAGCATTGGGAACATGCCCTCTCATGGGACACGGAGTCCAGGACAGGTAGATGGATGCACTGAAGCAGATGGCTGAGCCTGCCACAGGGAAAGAGATGGAGGCATTAAACTGCTCTCAGGCACCAAGAAAGAAAACAGTAGTAGTTTTCTTCTAGCTTTTGAGATGCCATTTGTCTTTATGCGGGTGTGGTCCCCTGGTCATCGAGTAGGTTCTGTTTTATAACATCGTAGGTTCCAGGGAGAAGGACAATGGCTTTTTCTGAAGTCCTGGGATCCCCTCTTAGCAGGCCTGTGGTGTTGGGCAAGTCCCTTACATATCTCCAAGCCAAGGTTTTCTTACCTGTGAAAATGGTGTCATCTGTCTTTCATAATTTAGAAATCCCTTAGGAACCTGTAACAAAGGACTTTCTAGACTGAGAACTGGTATATAAAGGGAAGGCATACACGTATTTAGGGCTTCAGATGGCAAAAAATGAAACAATAACTAGAACAGGCTTCATTCTGACCCCTCCCACCCCATCTAAAAGGATCAAACAGTTTCAACAAATCATGCTTCACAAGGTCTTGACGGCTCTCATCATGGTTTTCAAGCACCCTCTTTAATGCTCTAGATTCACAGACTGAACTTGACCTCAGGTCCATGATTAAGTGCCTGGTAAGCACAGCTGTGAATGTGGCATCACTCGACAAGTAAAGAGAGACGAGAGGACAGGCTCTGGCCTACGAAGTGCTTATGAAGGACAGAGGGTGAGAATGGAGGGCAGGTGAGCTGGGCCTTGGGAGCTCAGGGACCCATGAAGCCAGCGAGCCTCAGAAATCTAAGTGCTTCCTGAAATCAAGAATTACAAAGAAATTGAGAACAGAGTACGGAGAAAGAGCACCAGACACAAAAGTAGGTTAGGGTTCCCTCCCTCCCCACCACTTTTGAGCAACTCACCCTTCTCTCTGGACTGCAGTTTCCATTGGGCCGAATGAGAAGGCCACTTTCCAGCTCCCTGCTGTCTGTCTGACTCCTTGGTTGGAGCTCGCTACAAGCCTCAGCAAATTTAGCCTTACCTAAGCCACAGTCCCCAGCAGCTGCACCACTGCAAACCAAGCCTCGTGAGGGGACTACACGCAAACACAGCTCCCTCCCAGGGCAAAGGCTGGTGCTACCTGGTGTGGCTGTTGGAGGACAGGCTCTCCCAGGGCTGCACGCTGCAGCCGGCCACGGCAAAGGCTCCCCCACAGCTGCCATCCAACTTCATGAGCAGGGCCTTGGCAGCGTTCTCAGCCGTCTTCCGGCAGTCATGGGCTCGCTTGAGCATTTGCGTGATGTTTTCATCCCCTGACTGGTCTCCTATGTTGCAAAGAAGCCAATGGATCAATCAGCACAGGCGGGGTAAGGTAAAGCTGGGAGTACACTTGTATAATCCCTTCTTGGTCCCTCAGGGCACGGGCAGCACAGCGGCAGCCACTGGCAAGGGCCACCAGGGAGAACACCCGCGTTCTGGGCCTGACTGTGTCACTCAGAGGCTACAGGGAAGGCATTTCTCTGCTTGGGGCTCTGCTGTCCTTACAGCCAGATGGGTAGATCTGTGTCCAACTCTCCCACGCTGACTTTCTGGTTACCTGGGCCCTTCACTTCTCCTGCACTCAGGCTGTCTGTTCACTGGCACTTGGTGAGTAAGAGCAGGGAGAAATTGAGCAAGAAGACCATCTCTCCCCACATCAACGTTTGCTAGAGCTTTATGTAGGGGAAAAGAGGCAAAGGTAATGATTCAAATGATTAGCTATGCAATTTCTGCACCAATGCAATTTCTAGCCGTCTCGATCTGGAAATGGTGGCCAACGCAGATGCCTCTGGGAGACAGGTGACTTGGCCAGAGCAGAACACTGGGGCACCAGTACAAAGCCAAACAGGGAGGTTGCTGCCAAAAATGTGTATGTTCTTGTGTTTTAGCACTATGCTGGAAAAGGCGAAACTACAGAGACACTAAAAGAACAGTGGCTGCCAAGAGCTGAGAGGGTGGGGAAGGGGAAGGGGAGAGTGAACAGTTGAGCATAGAAGATCTTAGGCCAGCAAAACTACTCTGTGTGATCCTGCAGTGGTAAATACACAGCATCATATAGTTGTCCAAACCTGTGGGATGAACAACACCAAGAGTGAGGTCTAATGTAAACTGCGGTCACTGGATGATAAGGGTGTGTCAGCGCAGGGTCATCATTCTTAAGAAATGTGTCACTCTGGGGGCGGCACCGATTTGGGGGGGGCTGTGTATATGCATGGGCAAGAAGCATATGGGGTATCTCTGTACCTTCCTCTCAGCTCTGTTGAGAATCTAAAACTGCTCTAAATAGAGTCTTAAAAAACATATATAAAACTGTGCTAGCCAAAATAGTTTGCTACCTATGTAGCGTAGTCTATGCTCTTCCAAACACTTTCAAATGAAATCCTAAATTCGGTACGCTGAGCCTTACAAAACAATGACTATGAAGCCGGGTAAAATGGGAGGGGTGGGGTACATGCAGCTCCTCGCCCTTCAAGCCCACCGCTGAGGCCCAAAGTAACCCTCCCAGCTCCTAACAGCCCAGTTTGAAAACCTAAATCATCTCGAATGAACACAGTGAGTGTCTGGGAAGTCAGCAAGAAACAAAGAAAACAACCACAGTAATAGTTACTGCGGCTCATGTCACCAAGTAGCTCTTGTACAGAGTGATGGGTCCATCGTCGCTGTCAGAGGCACCTTCAGCATTGCAGAGGGTGGGGAAGCTGGGGGAGGTGCATCCTGCAGGCTGATTCCCAGGACTCCCCCCACCATTTCTCTGACACCCTTTATACCTTTTTGTTTCCACAAAGATATCTGACGTACATCTCACCACCTGACTGCTATTTAAACTCTGAAGTAGGCAAGATATTACTGGCTGGCTCATCTCATAATATATACATGAGCTACACAGTAGTAAGTAAATACAAACCAACTCATTATTGATTTTAAGTGTTTTAAATGCATATTTATTTAAGCTTTCAGCTCCTTCCAAGAAATGGGTATGAGTTGGTAGCAGCCTACAAAGGTCCCTTTGAGGATGGAACAGGTTAAGACATTCCTCTGACACAAGCTTGACAGAAGATGGTTGATTTTTTTTTCCTTTAATTGATCATCTATCTATCTATCTGATAGCTGGCCAAGATCATTTAGGTTCTGTTTCACATGAGGAATAAAGTTTTATGGCTCAGTTAAGAGAGCCTCAAAAATGAGGTTTCTAATGGAAATGCTGGCGCAGTTTCCACTTCTGGGCTGGGCTGGTAATGTTATTAGAGAGAGAAGGAGAGGCTGAAGAAAGTCACCCATGCAAATAAAGGTCGGCTGCCTGGCTGCTTAACTTGGGTATGAAGCCGGAAATTAATGCCCAGCTTGTTTCCTTCCCTCCAGATCGGATTCAGATTCCTGCGCGTGCCACAGCCAAAGCGGGGAGAGCATGTGAATGTCCAGCATGAAAGCTAGCTGGGGGCAGGGGGCGGGAGCAGAAGGAGAGGCTCGCATGCAGGTGGGGCCAGGGTGGTGACCTCATGAGGTGTCTCTTGGCCCTAATGGGAACGCACAGCTCAAAGCCAGGCCAGGACGGTGGGTACACTGGGTCTGCCCACAGCACCCACCTCTGGCTAAGGAGTGACCCTGTTATTTCAACTCTGTTGCCTTGCCATTGCTTCTCTAGAGACGCTGTTGATGTAGAGAAGCGAGGTCACACACTGAGGGTGGCAGCCCCTCTCCAGGGCCACCTCCCCAGCACTGTCTCCCCAGCAGCCTTCTAGTCACGGAAGCCTCAGAGCCACCGTCACCGGCTGTTGTTCAGCAAGTGCTGCTCAGCCCAAGAGCCCACACTGTACCACTTCTCAATTAAATACCCCTTCTAAGCACTCAAATTTGAGGAGTGAGCGGGGAGCAGTGCGGACCCTGTGACACCAATCAGGCCAACGGAGACCTGAGCCCTGGAGTGGGGACAGGGAAGGTGGCTGGGAGACAGGACAGTGGTAGAGCACCTCACTGCACCGTGGCTGGGATCACAGGCGAGCAAGTCGTGATGGTTGTGAAGCTACTTCTTCATTCATTAAGATGTTGAGAGTGGAGAGGTAGGAACCCATGCTCCAAAGCTACTTAGGGGAACACACACAGCAAGTAAAAGCAACAAGACAAGGCAAAAGCCAAGAAAGGACTTGGGAAGCAGTACTGCAGTGGGTCGGTCTCCTTCATCTCTAGTTTGGGTCTCCCGCTCCATCTGGTCCTCCTGCCAGCCCAGGAGAGTATGTGTCCTAAGAAGGCTTGTTTGTTTTAACTTGTCTGTAATTCTGTTTCCACTTCAGTTACTGCTGCATTCAACCTAAACAATTTACCCACTCAGTCATGAGGAAAAATGAAAAAAACACACTTGACAAGCGAATTTCATGTTGCTGAGAGATGACTCAATGCCCACAGCTGCAAAGGGGGTGGCAAAGTCTGGGCAGCCAGGAAGTGGGATGGGGAAGGACAGAGGGACTTGGGAGACACTCACCAGGGGAGGAGCCCAGGCCAGCAGCTCGGAACTGCCCCAGGATGAGGCTCTGCTCGCTCTCCGCCAGGGCTAGGAGGAGCTCGTAGGCTTCTATGCACTGCTCACTGAAACAGAAGCACAGGGATCCCTCAACTATGGCAGGGAACAGTGAGCACCTTCGGTGCCAGCGCCATTTCCTGGGTCGGGGCAGCTCACAGTCTGGCTCAGCCTCACCACCCTCAAAGGGAGGAAGCTACCTGGGAATACTCCCTGGACAAGGCCCAGGGCTGCTCGTTATGTTGCCTTCAAAAACCCAGTGTAGTAGAATAATAGAAGAGAACCAACTGTAGGAGAGGCAGGTTGGTTGTCCTTTGACGACCAGCTCCAATGGACGTGTGACATACTCGTGGCAGCCTCCATAGGGGCCCCCTGACCCCTACCCTCTTATGTTTGTGTAATGAACAGTCAGTGGTAAAGTGCTATGCCACTCTCGAGATTAGATTATTAAAAACACCGACCACCATCTTGGTCACTGGCTCACCCACCTTCCCTCTCAGCTCATCCTCTGTGGAGGCTGCTGCCAAATGTTCAACACTGTCAAGCTGTCCTCTGGACAGGCTCATGCGGTGAGCAACTCAGGCTTCCACCCAAAGCCAGGGAAGAAAAATGATCCCCACCACCGGCCACGTGAGTGACCGTGCTTAGAAGCAGGTCTTCCAGTCCCAGTTAAAGTTCCAGAAGATGCAGCCAGGTTGGCAGCCTGATCAGAGTTTTCTAAGAGACTCTGGGCCAAAACTAAGCCAAGCCTAGGTTCTCGACCCTCAAAACCGACATAATAATTTGTCATACAACAATGGATAACTAATGTAACACTCCTGAAAGGGATCATTTTGACCTAGACTTGAATTATACAATAGCCACTAGCCACATGTCACTGTTTAAATTTAAATACTTTAAGTTAAATAAAATACAAATTCAGTTCCTCCCTTGAAGTAGTCATATTTTAGCATTTAACAGCCATGAGGGGCTAGCAGTTACCACAATCAATAGTTCCATCATCATTCCCACAGCCTGACACCTGCACTGCACGTATGGAGATGGCAAGTGGCCCTGGTGTGTCTGCATGAGGGCCTGCAGGGGGTGTCTGCCTTAGCCAAACTCCTGATTCACTCCTGGAAGGTAAGCAGGGGACATGTCGCCCTAGCCAACATTCACTGGAGAGGACATCCGCTTTTGATTGTCTTTACAGTCATCATCCTATATTAAGGGATTAGGGAAGGGACCAGATCACTCATCTGAGCTTGCTGGCAGCAATTCCTTGCAGCTCAGACCACATCTCAGGCTAGAGGTGTTAGGATAGCTCATCCATGAGGATGAGCTAAAATGTGCAGGAAGCCCATTCTGACCAAGGCAGGTTAGGGGTGGAGATGGCTCATGCTTAGGAGGATTTTCTGCTTGTTTTCATGTATCTGTAAACTTGTATAACTCATCTCTGCTTTGGTCTCATTAGTTTCGTTGTTTTGTTTTGTTTTTAAAGAAGCAAAACTCTTAATCTTTAACTTTTCAGAGGAGGTTAAGAGTAAGATGCAGTCAACTACTTGGAGCCCTTGGCAACTCTGCTTCAGCGATGACACTAATACAATAAGCCTAAGAAGAGACTCATGAAGAGTTTTGTAGCTTTAAACAAGCATTAATTTAAAAACTGATAAATTCCAAAGCAGATGCAGCTGGAAAAAACTGGTACATTCACACGTCACTTGCTCACCAATGAATGAACTACAGTGGTTCAAACTGGCTTGTTTTTATGGGAAAAAAACTGGCAGCACATCTGAAGAGCCATGAAAATATTTGTATCATTTGACCTATGATTCTTGCTTCAGAGAGTTTACACTAAGGAAAATACTCAAAAGAATGAAGATCTTATCTTAAATTATTCACTATAGAATTAATTTCAGTATTAAAAGTCTACAAGTTTCAAAATGTCTTTTCAGAGAAACAAAGAAAATGAAACGTATAAACAATGCAAGGGACACAATCATTCAAAATAAATTGAAAAACCTATGATGTTTTAAAATGATGACATTTTAAACACTATGATATGATGAAGAAACAGGAGCTGAGTGTGGTGGTATTGTGCTATAATCCTGCACTCCGGGAGGCTGAGGGAGGAGAATGGCAAGTTTAAGCTCGGCAATTTATCAGGGCACTGGGAAGAAGGAAGGAGAGAGGGAGGGAGGGAAGGAGGGAAGGAAGGAAGGAAGGAAGGAGAGAGAGGAAGAGAAGGGAGGGAGGGAACACAAGGGTACAAGTGAGCAAGAGAGAGAGAAAGGAGGAAAGGAGAAAAGAAAGAAAAGTAGTACACTAGATTTACAATAATGTACAAAATATATGAATAAAGACCAGAAAAGACTAATAAATATATAATGTGAAAACTGGTATTATGAGTTATATTACTTGAAAAAAATAGGTGGAATACAGTAGGAAAAATGTAGAAACACATAGAGAAACATACTAATACTAATTTATTACTATTAATCTCTTAATTGCTCAGGACACTAATTGATTTTCAATACACATCACACTAGTATTTGCTGGTCCAACCCCCTAGTCAATCTCTTAAAAGCTAGGTTTCTACTTATATGCAGATTACTATGGATGCATTTCTGACTGTAAGTGGCACAGAGATCTGCCGCATGTCCGTCCCACTCCAGTCCACACCTGTACTGCAAGGCCAGCCTCAGCGCCGTGGCGTTGGACTCGTACTTCCCCACGAGCATGCTCATCCGCTCCGCATTGCTTTTGCATTCCTCCAGGGTTATGGTCAGGAGGTCATTTTGCGATTTGAGGTGTTCAATACGGCTACAAAGCAAGAAAAACCACTCCCAGTTAGGACTGTAATTCACCTGCCAATATTTTAGTTGTCTCATTTATATGCAGGTCTGAAATACATGCTACTGTGTGGGTCTGTCATGTGTCTTAGCAAATGCAAATTACACAAAATCATCAATGAACCAATTCTAAATAATACAACTGCTGAATTTTATGTGAATTACAAATAAAAAGTAAGGCTTCAGTTGTTTTCCACATCAACTGTGCTCCACATGTTCAATGTGCCAGGTACCCCGGAGGCTGGGGATAAACCAAGAAATAACAGCGGTGTGATCTGAAGGCTCTCCCAAGAGCAACGCCTGGTGAACTCCTACCATTCACCATGCGCAGCTGCAGGGTGCTGTTTGCTGAAGCTCTGCTCAGTCACCCTATGGTATCCTGTTGAATGAAAGTACTATTATCTCCCTTTCCCAGAAGAGGAAGTCGGAGCACAGAACAGTTATGTGCCTTGCCCAGAGATCTGTCCCAGGAAACCTGGCCTCAGGCCTGCCTCTTACCTACACACTACAGAGTAGAAGCAAAAGATGCATCAGTGAGTGAACAAGAAATCATGTAAGTCCTAGAAATGCACCAGGACCTGTAGATGGTGTCACAGGTCCACCCAGGTTAGACAGTCCAGCAATTTTGCTGGTGGGGTCAATGAAAACTGTTAAGTTTTGTCACATTCAGAACTGTATACTCAGGGTAAATAAGTCTGTGGTAAAGTGGGAAAACAAAAAATGAAAATCAAAACAGAAAATCTTCAGCTTCTCTGTTTTCTGTCCCATGAAGCACGGTCTCGTGTAATACTCTGAGCACTGAGTCTTAAAGAGACATGGAGTTTCACGCTCACCAAGTGCAAGTCACTCCTGCAGTGCTAAGGTGTGCAGAAGCCATCTGCCTCAAGAGTACATCTCAGAGTCTCTGTCTCAGTGTGGAATATGGGGACACTCATCCATGTAGCGACTGGCGACGTGTGGAGAGCCATAACTAAGACCACCATCTGGCCCTGGTGACTCCAAGGCCAATTCAAGGTAAGGTGTTACAGAACAGGGTTTCTTGTCCTGTTCATACTCAGACTTCTTGAAACCATCCACACTCTCCTGTTTGTGACTCCAGGGTACACTCAATCCCCACTAATTAGATGAAACCATTTACTCAGCTCTAGGCCTCCATGCAGCCAAGCCCAAAATGCTCCTTCTCAGAATGCCTCCCTCACTTAGGTCAGGGGTCCTTACTAGTCCTCGTCCAGACTACTTCTTCTACATCTCCTTATATTTACAAAAGCTGTGAGGGTTGGCATTTGCTCTGGGCTCAGCTGCAGGACTCTATCTCACCCTGGGGGTGATTCTATCCAGTTCCTGACTTTGACATACATTTCCCATGGCTCCCAAACTTCTCCAGCCCAGACCCCCTGAGTGCCAGTCCCACAAATACAGCTGTCTGCTGACATTTCCATCTGGCAGTTACATGCCAACATCCCATCTAACATTCCAAGAGCAAATTCCCGATATTCCCCAAACTGTCCTTCTACACCATGATCCCTCCAACAGTACAAGCTAGACACAGAGCATCTTTGAGATCACCCCTTTTCTTACATCCAGACCTAACCTGCCCCATGTATCCTGATCCAGGCCTGCTGTGCCACCCTTGTTCTCTGCGACCATCTCCCTGCTTCCACCCTATCCCCCCTTTCAGTCTTCGCTCTAAGTGATCTTTTGTGATAATAGGCCACGTTCTTCCCTTGTTTAAAATCCCCTAACAATTTCCAATCACACTTAGAATAAAGAGTACAATTTGCCCATGGCCTCAAAATCCCTATCCCAGCCCCTGCCCTTCCTTTTCCCATACCCTAGCTCAGTCCCACTGGTTTTCAGACAGCAAAGCCTTTGTGGCTACTTTTTTCTAGCCTTGAAGTTGGTAACTTGGTCTGTAAGATTCTTTTTGGTCTGTCACATGGCTAATCCTTCTCTCTTTCTCTCTTCTCTCCTCTCTCTCTCTTGCCTCTTCAAAGAGACTTTTCCTGGCCATCTATCAAAAAAATCAACCCTCAGTGGCAGAGTGCTTAC